ACAGAAAACATAAATCCCAGCAAAGAAAAGCCATTTAAAATTATGCAGCGGGTGGGCCCGCATCTGTTCTGACTCCACATTCCTGGCTCTTACCCGTGGCTCAGGGCCACAACCAGCAAAACTCCGCCATGGGCACAGAAGGCCATTGTAAATCTTGCCAAGACTTTTTTATGACTAGCCCAAAGGGGAGGAACGTGTGATGGAGCTGCAGTCCTATCATTAACAACTGGAGGACTATGAATTCTCACCTTCACATTTAATTCCTTTCCCTCTCAGGCATAAAAGTGTCACAAAATCCTGTGCCAGGGAGATAGGTTAATGATCAACACAGCTCATGAAGGACGCTCGTGAATTCCACAGGCTCCTTGGTGGGTGTCAAAGCCCACATATTCAAACAGGCAAAGCTGGAGAGGAGAAAGCCCTGTGCGCCTCAGACAAGACCTTCCCCTCTCTGGATCTCGGTTTCCCAGTTTGCAAAACAGCAGGGGGGCCTGATCATTGAGAGGCCCTCATCACTAGCGGTTGATGTTTCTAGGAGACAGATCTACACGCCCTTTCATGGGATACTAACACTCATGCTAGATCAGGACAGAACCAGAAGGGCTGGGCAGTCCGGGGTTAAGGCCCCACACGCACCTGGTTGGCCCAGAGCCTCCAGGTCAAAGCAGACAGTCTGTACGGACAATGACAGAATGAAGAAGTCAGGTGGGGTTGCCCAGACACACACTGTCAGGGGCTCCCGGAGTAACCTGCAGGTGCACAGGGCTGAAGAGTAATTGGGGTGCTGACTGTGGAGGTGTGATGGTTCATTTTAGGTGTAAACTGACTGTCCTGAGGGATGCCTGAACGGCTGGTGGAGCGTTCCTGGGTGGCCTGTGAGGGTGTGTCCAGAAAAGACTGAGTCAGTGGACCGTGAGAGGAAGACCCGCCCTCAGTGTGGGCAGGCTCCACCCACTCGGTGTGGCCCTGGCTGAAACAGATGGCAGAGAAGGGGATTAGCTCTCTGTCCCCCTTTCAGAGCGGGATACTTCTCCTCCTGCCTTTGGACATCAGACTCCAGGTACTTTGGCTTTGGAATGCTGGGACTTGCACCAATGCCCTCCTGGGGGCTGCACTGTTGGCTTCCCTAGTTCTGAGGCTTCTGGATTTGGACTGAGCCATGCTACCAGCCTTAAGCCATGCCGCTGGCTTCTCAGGGTCCCCAGCTATCTTGGCCTATTCTTGATTGTGTGAGCCAATTCCCCGAATAAATCCCTTTCCATACATCCTAGTGATGCCATCTGGAGAACCCTAATACAGGAGGGAATTAGGGAACAGTCATGCACGAATCCACCATGGCTAAGCAGACGGAAGAGATCGGGTGTAGGTATGGGTGGTGGGGAGGGGAGAGCAGAACTCACAAGATCTGGAGAGGGTCTTTCTTTGTGCTCTAAAGACACACGCACTCCCCTTCCCTGCCAGCCAGGGTGGCCTTGCATGTGACTCTGACACTGGTCTTTCCCTGACCTTCCCCTGCTGCTCACACCTACATGAGAACATCCACCTCCTAACCTGGCACTCACAGACTTCCTCAATCTGACCCAGTGACTCTCTGGACTTGTATCTCTTCCCATAGGAGACACACCACAGGCCTTCTAGTGCCCTGCCAGCCAAGCTTGCTGCCCCTGGGCCCTCCAATTTCTTTGTCCATCCATGTCCTGTCCCCCTTGGCACTCGTCATGACCTCTACTGTGCTCACTGCAATTGCTGCAGAGCCCGCCATCCCCACAGATTGGCAGCCTCCCTGGGCAAAGGGTGTGGGACTTCTCCCTAGATCCCTGTCTCTCTGGCCTGGATCTGGCACCAACCAAGTGTCCAGGGACTATCTACGGAGTGAACTGATAGATGGACTAGGAAATACAGGTTATAGCAATGACTGCTAGCAGCCTTCCATATTTCCACACTTCCCTGTTCCTTAGGGAAAGAACCCCATTTTAATAGGGTGGTAAATTGCCCAGCTAGAATATTTCCCAACTTCTCTTGCAGCCAGGTATGCCTGAACCGTCAGGGCTTTAACACAAATTTGTCAGAGCAAACGAATAATTCACATCAGGGAAGAAGTGAGTGGGGCAGGGGGTGGCAAAGGGCAGGGGCCTGGGCTCACCTTGAGGGGCAGGTAGGCTGCGATGGTGATCTTGGCACTCAGGTGGATGTGACCGTGTTTGTAGCTCACGAGGAGCATGGTGTAGCCCTGGGCCTCGGCTCTCACCCTGACGCCACTGCAGTGCTCAGACCCCGGCAGAAGCCTCCCTGCAAAAAGAGGAGACCCAAATGGTCACCGTGAACTTGCCTTTGGCAGGACAGGCATGACGGTCTTTCATCCTGGGCTTGATTCACAACTGGGTTTTTCTTTAACTTAAGTCTTCTAAATTGAAGTANTCCTGGGTGGCCTGTGAGGGTGTGTCCAGAAAAGACTGAGTCAGTGGACCGTGAGAGGAAGACCCGCCCTCAGTGTGGGCAGGCTCCACCCACTCGGTGTGGCCCTGGCTGAAACAGATGGCAGAGAAGGGGATTAGCTCTCGCCCCCCCCAGTGTGGCCAGGAAGGCTCCACCCACTCGGTGTGGCCCTGGCTGAAACAGATGGCAGAGAAGGGGATTAGCTCTCTGTCCCCCTTTCAGAGCGGGATACTTCTCCTCCTGCCTTTGGACATCAGACTCCAGGTACTTTGGCTTTGGAATGCTGGGACTTGCACCAATGCCCTCCTGGGGGCTGCACTGTTGGCTTCCCTAGTTCTGAGGCTTCTGGATTTGGACTGAGCCATGCTACCAGCCTTAAGCCATGCCGCTGGCTTCTCAGGGTCCCCAGCTATCTTGGCCTATTCTTGATTGTGTGAGCCAATTCCCCGAATAAATCCCTTTCCATACATCCTAGTGATGCCATCTGGAGAACCCTAATACAGGAGGGAATTAGGGAACAGTCATGCACGAATCCACCATGGCTAAGCAGACGGAAGAGATCGGGTGTAGGTATGGGTGGTGGGGAGGGGAGAGCAGAACTCACAAGATCTGGAGAGGGTCTTTCTTTGTGCTCTAAAGACACACGCACTCCCCTTCCCTGCCAGCCAGGGTGGCCTTGCATGTGACTCTGACACTGGTCTTTCCCTGACCTTCCCCTGCTGCTCACACCTACATGAGAACATCCACCTCCTAACCTGGCACTCACAGACTTCCTCAATCTGACCCAGTGACTCTCTGGACTTGTATCTCTTCCCATAGGAGACACACCACAGGCCTTCTAGTGCCCTGCCAGCCAAGCTTGCTGCCCCTGGGCCCTCCAATTTCTTTGTCCATCCATGTCCTGTCCCCCTTGGCACTCGTCATGACCTCTACTGTGCTCACTGCAATTGCTGCAGAGCCCGCCATCCCCACAGATTGGCAGCCTCCCTGGGCAAAGGGTGTGGGACTTCTCCCTAGATCCCTGTCTCTCTGGCCTGGATCTGGCACCAACCAAGTGTCCAGGGACTATCTACGGAGTGAACTGATAGATGGACTAGGAAATACAGGTTATAGCAATGACTGCTAGCAGCCTTCCATATTTCCACACTTCCCTGTTCCTTAGGGAAAGAACCCCATTTTAATAGGGTGGTAAATTGCCCAGCTAGAATATTTCCCAACTTCTCTTGCAGCCAGGTATGCCTGAACCGTCAGGGCTTTAACACAAATTTGTCAGAGCAAACGAATAATTCACATCAGGGAAGAAGTGAGTGGGGCAGGGGGTGGCAAAGGGCAGGGGCCTGGGCTCACCTTGAGGGGCAGGTAGGCTGCGATGGTGATCTTGGCACTCAGGTGGATGTGACCGTGTTTGTAGCTCACGAGGAGCATGGTGTAGCCCTGGGCCTCGGCTCTCACCCTGACGCCACTGCAGTGCTCAGACCCCGGCAGAAGCCTCCCTGCAAAAAGAGGAGACCCAAATGGTCACCGTGAACTTGCCTTTGGCAGGACAGGCATGACGGTCTTTCATCCTGGGCTTGATTCACAACTGGGTTTTTCTTTAACTTAAGTCTTCTAAATTGAAGTATAATTCACATACCAACACATACTGAACACACCCTGGACCCAGTACCCAAGTCAAGAAACAGTACTACCAGCACGTCGCAGCATCTCCTGGAGACCCTTCCAGTCTCTAGCCCCTCCCCCAAGGAAAGCCACTACCCTGACTTCTAACAGCATGGTTTAATTTTGCTTATTTTTTTAGTTTATCTAAAAGGGAATCACTGAGCAAACTTTTTCGTGTCTGGCTTCCCCAACTCAATCTTGTAGTGAGATTCCTCATGTTCTGCATGTTGTAGATCCTTTACCCACATTTCTATACATTATTCCATTGTGTGCATATACAGCAATAGATTTACCCATGTTAATGCGAACAGCTGAATTCCTTCCAGTTTGGGGCTCTGATCCACTGTGCTGCTAGGAGCATCTGTGAGCCTTGCTTTTGCTGGGGGTATTTCAGTATTTCTGTTGGGTGTTTCCCTAGGAGTGGGGCTGCTGGACCACAGGGCGTGCATCTGTTCAGATTTAGTCGTTACTGCCAAATATCTCTCCCCAAATGGTTGTGGCAATTTACACTGCTACCGGTAGATGCTCTACATCTCTGCCCATACATCCTTGGCAGTTTCCTTCTTTTCTAGAAGAGCCATTCTGGTGGGCGTGCAGTGGCATCACGTTTGCTTTCATCACATTTTATTATGAAAGTCCTCAAACACACAGGAAAGTTGGAACAACTGTTCGGTGAGAACCACTTACCCATCACCTGGATGCCACAGTGTCCCTTTGCTTGTTTCTCTCATCGCACACCATCCTCCACGCTCTACCAATTGATTTTATTTTCTATGCAATTACAAGTGAGATGAAGACATTGGGTCCCTTCATTCTAAATGCTTTAGTATTCATGTGATCACCTACAGTTCAAGGTCCAGTTTACACCCCGTGAAACGCACACGTCTCAGAGGACCCCTCCCCGTGCTCTGACACATGCACAACCCTGCTGAGTTGCGATGTGTCCTTCTGCTCCCTCTGGGTCTCAGTGGAGCTAAGACTTCCCTCGGCACCTTCCCAAACATCCCCCCAACCAGCTGAGCCACCCGTCTTCTGGGTATCTCTCCTGGGGAACTTGCTGAGGCGCGTCTGTCAGGTGGTGCCTAGGAGTGGGATGGCGCTTGTGGCCCCTGTGCTTACTTGCCCACACATGCATTTATCACAGGCACTGAACAGCCGGGTGAACTCTGTCTGGCCAGCCCAGAAGCACCATGAAGGGAGCATCCATGTCCATCTGTCTGTCTCCCTCTCTAGTTTTCCAGGGAACCCCCAGAGCAAGGCACTTAGTAGGTGCTCAGTAAACAGGGAGCTCAAAAGCAGCCAATGAAGTCAGCGAGCAGAGAAAGGACCGGGACGGAGCAAGAGCAGAGGTGTCTGCCATCCCAGGCGGGAGTCCAGCTAAGCTTCAAGGGGCTGCGGCTCCATGGAGAGGTTCACAGTGGTGCCCACAGCCAAGGGGCTTTCAAGAAGATGTCAACCATGAGGACAAGGTAGAAATGGGATCCCCGAGTACAAATCCAGTAGGAAGAGGGTGGAGCCCTCAACTGACCCAGAGGGTGCTGTGGGAGAGGCGGGGCTATCCAGAGACCAGGTGCAGCCCCTTCCTCAGAGCCACAACCACAGTCCATGGCATCTCTCTGCCCTGACTAGGAGCCCACGGTTCTCAGATACATAGTTTTCTCCTGCGCACATTGTCAGTTTTCATATAAACTGAGCCCCCCCATACAAGCCCACACAAAGCCACAACACGCTACACCACGGGAGAGTTAAGGCACTTTCCAGAGAAATTTTGATGCCCGGGATCTGTCTTGGCTGCTGTCTACAGATTCAAATTCCTTGAAAAATGCCCCTGTACTGTGCTGAGGTGTATTCATTTGTAACCCTCAAAAAAGCAAGGGGCTGTTATTCCCATTTTATAGATGGAGAATCCAAGGCTCAGAGAGGCTGGGCAACATGCCCAACGTCACACAGCCAATAAGTGGATGAAGTGGCTCAGATCAGGCCTGTAGCATTACAAACCTTGTACTTTATTCCCAGGCCCTGACCCCGTGCCTGGGCTGCACCCTACAGACCCCCCTCCAGGATAGAGATAGGGTACTTCATCTCCTGCTGCCAGCAGGCCTCTCCCCATGCAATGCTGCTTTCCTCCAGCCTAAATGGTGACCTCGCAGATGACACCTTAGACATAGGCTTGGTTTCTCCTGGATGCGGTTACTCAGGGATTTTTCAGAGCGCACTCGAGATTGCAACAGCTCTCTACATAATCACCACTACAGCAGTGTGCAAAGCCACTTGGCACCACAGGTGATTCTACAAACCCTTCTGCCAATCAAGCTTCCTACACTCTGCCAGGACCACATCACTCCTCTGGTCAAACACCTTCAGTGGCTCCCCACTGACTGGACACTTAGGTTTATGGTGAGACAGGTTCTGCTGCTCCAAGTACATTCTGTATGCATGAGGGCCTGTCCATCTCTGGGCACTGGCGCAAGCTCCCTCTCCCACCAAATGCCGTCCTGTTACTTCCAATGTCCTGCCCAAATCTCACCCCTTTTCAAGTGCTCACCAGGCCTTTGGTTTTCTCCATCTGCGAATGGAAGAGGAATCCTTGCCCTGCCTAGGCCAAGTCCCCTCGAGGCCCATCTCACAAGTGACTAAAGCCCCAGGGTTAGTGTTGGAACTCCTAGCTCTGCACCCCAGCCCTGTCCCATGCCGTCCTGTGACCCTGGGCAGCTATGCAGCCTTAGTTTCTTCATCTGACACATGACCCAACAACAGCTCCTTCTCCAATGGTGCTTGCAAAGTCCAAAAGGAGGTCAGGCATGCACAGTGCTTACCCCGCGCATGGCGGGGTTGACACTCGATTAACTGACCACCAGTGTCACCACCGATATCACTACCAAAGCCCTGCAGGGGATGCTGAAGAGAAAGATCAATGTGCTCGGGGGGATGGGGTGCATGTCAGAGGAGGTACTACTCTGTGACCCGCCAAAACTCCTAGTCTGACACCTACTGTGTTCCAGGCACTGAAATAGGCACTTTGACACATGATTCTATTTAGATGACACTCATTTTAGAGATGTGGAAACTGAGGCTCAGAGAGGTGAGTGATTTGCCAAAGGTCACACAGCAGGGAAGATTCAGAGCAGACTAGTGCTAATGGGGCTAAGAGGACAAATGCCACTCCTGTGTTGTGGCCCCTCTGCTGCCTCGGCCCTCTATTTAGGAATCTGGGTGGTCTATGCTGAGAACCCAGGTGATGTGGCCCCGATCCCACTGTCTGGTATCTGCTCAGCAGTGCTGGGTTACCTGGGAGTGGCTGGAACACGCCCATGTTCTCTACCTCCACCACCAAGTCAAAGTGGGAGCAGTCGCTCAGGGTGACCACCTCACTGGCCCCGCCGGGCATGAGACCGTTGATCCTCAGGGGTAACTCCAGGGTCTGGCCCACTCGTGCCTCCACCTGGCACGGGGCGAACTCCATGCTGCTGGGCTCGATCACACACACCTGGGGAAAGGAGCATGGCCTGGGCTCATCAGCCCGCACGGGAGAGAGAGGGTCCACTGCTCAGATTTACCAAGCGCTGCTGTGTGCTGGGCACTGAGGACATGGCCATGAGAAGACTGGGCTGGGCGAGAGGATGGTGTGTGCTGGGCACTGGGGTGATTCAGGGACACAGCTGTCAGGGAAGGCCTCTCTGAGAAGATGACCTAGGGGCTCAGACCTGAAAGCTATATCAGAGGCAGCCCAGCAAAGGTCTGGGGGAAAAACATTCCCCATGAAGGGATGGTCTGTGCAAAGGTCCTGAGGCACATACTAGCTCAGCACATTGAAGGGATATAAAGGAGGCCAGTGTGGCTGCACTGTACTGAGCAGAGGGAGTAAAAGTGATGGGGTCTGAGAGGCAGTGGGCCGGTCAATGCAGGGCCTGTGGCTGTAGGCAGGACATTGTTTTGCATGTGGCTGAGCAGGGCACACTTCAGAGGTTCCCATCCCTGTGGCCTGTCTGTAAAACTCAGCAGCCAAGAGGCTGCTGGGAAATCCCTGTAAGAGATGGCGGCAGGGTGAACCAGGGTGGTGGGGGGTAGGAACGAGTGATGTTTGAGGTACGTTCTGAATGTGCAGCTGATGGAGTGTGGATGAGGTGGCTGCAGAGGCTGAAAGGAGGCAGCCGCAGCTAACACGTAAACAAAACCCACCCCACTCCCGCTTCTGCTCTAGAACACTGCCGGTCACCTCCTCACTCTCCTCGTGAAGGACATTCTCCTCCGCACCTCCTTTACCCAAGGAAGAACTGGCCTGAGGAGGGAAGTCACTGCCCGAGCTACAGTGGGCCTGAGTGGGAACCAGGCATCCTAGCCCAACGCCAGCCTCTCACCAGCACATACAAGCAGCTCTGGAGGAACCGGCCTCAGGCTCTGGCCAAGCAACAGGGTGAAAGTTGGCCATTTATTGAGAGGAGGAGGGAGAAGGTGGGGGCAAAGGGTCTCTGTCAAATACTTCTCTACATGAGAATTTGACCCATCTTTAGACAGATGTGAGTGTATCTGTGTGGATCTCAATAAGAAGACGGTGACAACCTATCCAGCTGTATCCCAAACCAAGTAAGAGAAGGCTGTGACTGGCCCAATATGAGGCTTCAATTTCTGCCCTAAATAAAGTACTAAAGGGGTTGAGGTCAGAGCAGGGGTCAGGTAGGGTCTGAGCTCAGGGGCTGCAGGTGGGGCTGGCAGAGGTTCTGCTGAGGTGACCACCTAGACCTGCCACCATTGCTAAGTGAGAGAGAACACAGCACTCAGGGTCAAAAGGTGGGCATGGGGACCAGCGCAGAGGATACAGCCGCTGTACCTGAACAGGAGTGAGGGAACAGGAGTTGGGGCTCCCTTTCGCTGGGGATTTACAACCCAACACTCGGTGGCCCTTCCAATGTGAGATTCTTATCTTTCAGGTCTGGGGAATTTTCTAGAAAGGCTCTTTGATTATCTCATGTCTTCCGTGTTCTTGGGTCTCCCCTCCAGTCACCCCAGCTCTGTGGACACTGGCTCTGCTGCTCCCATCACTGTCTGCTGTGGGACGTCCTGTCCCTCTCCCTGACACGGCTGTGGGCTCCTCAGGGCAAGACTGGGGCTCGGCCCCTCCCCCTTCACCAACCCCATAGACACCACAGGGCTACAGGGCGTTTCCAGATGAAGCCTGAGGACCGGTGACAAGGGGCTGCTGCAGAATCCCGCCCGAGCCTCCCTGAGCCTGTCCTGGCCCTGGGCGGGGGGGGGGGG